TTTCTTGTCTTTCCCCTAGGAGCAGTATCCTAGAAAAATACAACATTTGTCTTGGTATATGATGTTGAAGCTATTCATTAAGATGTTTTGGGATTCCTCATCAGGTTTTGATTTGATTATTACAATTTTTCATTAAACATGGGTACCTTTAGATTTAAGCCATACCGTAATAGCCATATACTTGGCACCTGTACTTTTTTGGTTACTCCAAAATATGTTTCAAGTAATTTTTCCTTTTAAAACAAGTTTAGTTTGGATACATATTGGGTAAATTTAGAAAACTCCTTTAAACCTTCAAATCTGGAAGATCCATAATTAATTTTTGCTAAAAAAGGTTATACAAAACTTGATATTTGATTAGAAAGGAATTTTTTTTTCCTGGTGACCATTGATGAGGAGAAATTTTGAGTGAAAATAGGGACAACTAAATTAGGATGGAGTTATAAGCTCATGTATAAATGGTTTGTGTTGTCTGCATAAGATCCATGTTAACTTATTCTTTTGGTGGATGGAAATGGTTATTGTTATTGAATTCAAAGCTTTATATTCTAGTTAATCCAGTGGCTCTTGATTTTTTTTTTTCCTCCTGAAAACAGTTACAATATCGTGAATTTCATGGCTGAATGACTTTGATGAAATTCAGTTCCCTCTTCACCTTCTTCAGACCTCATCCATTTTTTTGATTGCTCATGGTCAAGTTCTTTTTCTGATCCATAACCTTAAGGAAGCATCAACGTGAAATTTCTTCCTTTGCAGTGAATGGGTTCTGGGCAATCGAGAGGATTTGGTCAAGGATATTATTTCTGAATTACAACCAGAGAATGGTGAGGTAACATCATATTTCGATTTGTTCAACTCTAAGCTCTGTAATATATTGTGGCGTACTTGATATCTGGAAAAGCAGGTTGGTCTTTATTGTTTCTAGTAAGCAATTTTTGGGCAAAATCTCCAATATATAATAAATACTCTTCTGCGGTGTATTGTTCATTTATCTCTTAGCTGCTATCATATTTCTTATAATAGTTACTGTTCTCTAGATGCCTGCTTTCTAGGGTGAGACTCTGTTCTTTTGTTTCATTGGTCCTTAATTCCTGGGGGACCCTGTTCTTTTCTTCTTCCTTTCCTCCCTGCCATGCCTATGTACACAATGACATAATCATTATTTTACTATGAATGCTGCTAGTGTCACAGTTTTACAAAACAATCAACGACAATTCTGCTTCTGTTCAGTAAATTTGAAAGGCGGTGTATTAGATCAGTCACATAAGAACAGCTCTATTTTTAACAGGGCTATGGAGTTGTTGGTTGTCCGGCCACTGTCCGGGACTTTTTTCTTAAGTATAATAATCAATGATTGCAAGTGTGAACTGATCTCATCGAAGCAAATAGTCACGGTTGCTTTGCACTATAGCATGGCATCCCTTGTTGTGTGCTAAACATTTGTGTGTCTGAACAGATTGATTTATGAAAATTATCAGGTACTTGACGAAGTTTGTGAGCATTTTGATTGATTTTAAGCTCCGTTCTTTTACTGACTGTCAACAGTATTACATTGATGCAGTTATAGTATGTCTCATTTTGACCTCTTTTGATTTTTCCAACAAATGATTTGTTATTGAGAACCAATGTAAGTGGCTGAGGGAATGCATGATTTACTTAGTGCTTGAATAATTGATTGCATTGCTATTGTTTATTCAGTAGCACTTCTGTGTAAGATGCTGAGACTTTTTTTTTTTTTTTTGGGGTTCACTGTGGGGAATTCTTAGACTCGAGCAATTATTAAAGGTTGACAAGAAAAGGTGGATAGTGGAATGCGCACACCTGTTGCAATTTGTTTGCTTTAATAGATCAAACTGATTTTATTTTATTTTTTCCCAGGAATGGTGGACATATGTATGCATGGGACCATCAGATCCTCATCCTAATTGGCACCTTGGAATGCGAGGCACTCAACATCGCGCTGTCATGTGGCGAGTGTGGAAAGAGGGTGGCACAGGATTTTTGTACTGGGGTGCCAACTGCTATGAGAAGGCAACTACAGCCAGTGCAGAGGTGTTTATGTGCCCTGATTCTGCTGTATCGTAATTGGATTAGAATATTCATTTGTGAGAGGATTCTTTTTACTGATAGTCAATATATTTTCTTGAGGACAGATAAAGTTCAGACACGGCCTTCCACCTGGAGATGGAGTTTTATTCTACCCTGGTCAGGTGTTTTCATCTTCTGGTGAACCGGTTGCTTCTCTAAGACTAGAGCGCATACTTAGTGGCTTGCAGGTAAGAGCGATGTAATTTCAAAACTACTTAGCTAATTATACTGAATGTACTTGAACTTTTGCCTACTTGCTTCTGTTATGTAGATGCAATATTGTGTTTGTGAATATATTCTTATGCGCACGTTTTATCAATCTCATCGATAAATATTTATTTTTGTGGTTAGCAAGTGTTAGTTGTGCATAGTTGTTTCATATTCTGATGTTTTTCATGCTGTAATTTTTTCTAGGACTACGAGTACCTGAAACTATACGCTTCCCGATATGGTAGGGATGAAGGGATTGCTCTTTTGGAGAGGACTGGTTTGTATTTTGGTCCTGAGCGTTACACATTCGAGCATATGCCAATCGATGCAATGAGAGGAGAGATATTTAATGCCTGCCGTTCCTAAATTTTTGTATAGACGATACCATATGTTTCGAGTGGTCTATTTGGCTCTGGCCAAAAAAAAGAAAAAGAAAGGTCTATTTGGTGGCAGCTGTCATATCCAGGCTTTGAGTTTTCAGCTTTCAAATGTCAATTGATGTAGTGCATAATTTTAACTGTGGGTTAGATACCATTGTGGCTATAATATCCACTTGAGACGTAGATAGAGCAGAGGGAAGTGTTCTCCCTCCTTTCCCCCCCTTAATAGTGAAATGGGCGCACAATGTCGATGAGCTTCTGGAGTTAATTATCGCTTAGGCTTATGTAAATATTCATCCGATGTTGCTTTGCGAGGACCATGGAGTTTGGAAGATGCATGTGGGCTAATGCTATAAACAGGTTTGGCTACTGAATGGCAGGTTGTCCATTTTTGGTTTATTACTGTATTTCATGTCAAACACAATCCTGTCAATAGATTTATATTGAAAAAGTAGTCAATTTATCTCAGTTTTGGCAAGGAACAGAGAGAGCCCTGGCTTACGATGAATACGACTGTCCAATTTGTTCTAAATTCATGAATCATGATAGGCTGGGGTCGCATGCTGACCGCTATCCGTCGAGACTGAACTATAACAGTTGGGAGGCATGTGCAATTTCCCATGTCTCGGGGCCTTACTAGTTCACTGTAGCTTTCAACTATATTCTTACCCATGTGCGTTTTTTCCCCTTAAATTTGTTATGAATTTTATTTTATGGTGACGATATTGTGGCCGTTAAATCAATTCACCAAGTTGACGTTGTTAGTCCAGAATGCCTATCCCACTAATGGATAAACATCTTTTTTTCCCCCTAATACTAATTCTAATCTTATTTTGATTTTAAATGTAAAACTTTAGTTTATTTTGTCTCTTAAATTTATAATTTTTTAAAATAATATTTCTACTAATTGCATATAATAAAAAAAAATTCATTAAGGGGTAGTTATGATTATTATGAGAAGTAGTATTATGAGAAAATCAACATACACTTATTAAAAATAAGTAACCAATCAATTTTTTAATATTTACAAATTAGTTATGTAATTTTTATATTAAGGGAAAAAAAAAGAGAACAATATAAACTTTTTTTCGATTTACTAATGTGCTCGTGTATGAATAGAAATGATATTTTTAGAAAATTAATACTTATTTTTTTAAAATGATTAATTTGACGAATTTTTTAATATTCATAAATTTAGTATCTAATTACTATATTAGGCATAAAAGGGAGAAATGCAAGCTCCAAAGAAAAAGCTTCATTGGTTAAACAAGCCCCCCTTCGCCCCGGGGGGGGTCCTCATACTCGCCTCTTTAGCGTCGAACCCTTGCATCTCTGAGTCTTCTAGATGTGTGCCCTCAGGCAAAATGCGTGCATTCGAAGTTTTGCTTATCTTTATGGGTTTACATAAATTTAAAAATTTAATGACCTTAAATGATATTATTATTACTGGTATATTATTATTTGTGCTTTGATAGATTATTTTATTTTATACTATTCATAAGGTATAAAACTCGTGACCCCTTTTTTAAATTCTGTCTCACCTTAGTTAAAAAATACTATGCCAGAAAACAACGACAATATGTTGACAATTTGATGCCCATTGTATTTACATTTTTTTAATTCAAAAATTGATATTAGAAAAATTTATGCATTGCCTCCAATCCTAATTATAAAACCTCATTTGTAATTTATAAATAAGGTCTTATAATGAGACCGAAGGTAGTATAAATTAAAGTTAAATTCCTGTTTCGAATATATTAGGGGCGCGTAATTAAACTTTTGGAAGCCAAAGTAACAACTTGATTTTGATTTTTTTTGTAAATGAAATTCATGGTTCCGGAACCCGAATCCAATGTGGTTGTTAGCTGAGGCTGACGGCCCCTGGGGGGGTTTGTTTTTGGCAATATTTGTTTTTTTACCTAGAAAATGTAGCTGCACGGTGCAGCCGAGCTCATGTCGCGGCTTACGTGCCCCTCAGGGAAGCACCCAATTACTCAGCCAGGGCTCGCCAAGGAAATCAGCCGAGGCCCGAGGTTGGCGGAAGGGTTTCACGGTTTCACCAGTTATTTTGGACCAAAGAACTGAATAGAAATTTCCAGCTTCTACTTAGTTTACAAATTACTACTTTTTTTCTGTTGCCAACAACTTTACAAATCGCTACTACATTTTTACCACTGGCCGCTTGGTCGAGTGGTGTGTGTGTGTTGGGTGTGTGCATGCCTGTTCGAGTCCATTCCCTTGTATCTCAAAAAACAAATTACTACTATTTTTGTCCGTTTGCATTATATCGGATTCCCTTGTTTTTTACTGGTCCCCTCTATTTGGCTGTCTCGACGGAAACTTAGGGAGAGCAGTGAAGCTCGTGTCTTCTACCTCCAACCTACCTTCTTTAAGATGCATTTGCGGTCTGTTTCCCTTATTACGTCTTCGATATTTAACCATCTGCGGGTGGCCTTCCTCTGATTTCGCTTTACAATTAGTGTCTTTCTTTTCTATTGCTCTTATTGTTCCGGAACGGTACGATTCTCCTGTTAATTTCTATCTTCCAATTAGTTGGCTTTGATTTTAATTATTCTGTTGATACTTCTTGGTTCCGCGCGCCACGCCAACACCCCCCCCCCAAAAGAAAAAAGGAAAAAAAAAAAAACAACACACACAAAACACCCCGCCCCCAAGAAGGGAGGTCCATCTTTTGACGCTTCTCGACCAAAATTGGTGGTTATCTTTCTTATTTGCTTTCGAAAGCTGTCACTATTTGACTGTTTGTAATGTGTCGGATGACGCCAGGTGCCTGAATATCGAGCATATCGGGTGTTGCATTTTAACTGAATGAAGAAGTGATGCGTTGGGAGTTATGAGATTGGCTTTAGTATATACTTGTGACCATCGTGTTGGGATCCATTATAAAGTTGAAGAAAGGTATTTCTCGTAGTAAAATGCTCTCTGGTAACTTTTCAAGACTCAGAACTGCAGTCCAAAGATCGATTGTGGGGAGAGAGAGTGGAAATCAAGATTCTTTTGGAGTTTTGATTGGACAAGGGAAGTTGTGGTTTGGCGGCAGTTCAAGGTTATTTCATTTTTTAGGCAGCGCTTCTTGTGCTGATTTCTGTGCAATTCTCCGTCCTGATGTTGCTTTAGCTCCAAGCTCAGAAATAGTTGACCAAAGAAGAACCTTGTCTTTAATTGGTACTCTATTTCGCACATATTCCATCCCGTCATCATTCAGGCCTTCGTTTCAGGTGTGTGGGTACCACATTGATTGTGCATTTCGGGAGTCTGCTCAATTTTCAGTCAGCAGGAATTGTAAGCTGGAATTAATGGCTATTCCCTTTGCTGGAGCAGTAGTTGGTGAATGCTATTTTGATAATTTAAAGTCAAAGAACTGCCACCAGTCACTGTCAACAAGGAATGGCAGTAACCTGTGGCCAGGCAGAGGTTTGGAGGATGGCAGAAAAGTGAGCATGAGATTGAAAAACCATAAGCAACCAGATAGTCGTGGCATTTATGGTTATTTCATATATAATGTGGCAAAAAATTGGCGGAGTTATAACCCTTGGGCAGATTCAGGGTCAAGAGATTTCCATAGCTCATCATCAACATGTCTCTCTGCTGGGCCTGTTCCTGATGTGCCCTTTGATTCTTCCATCCGAGAAGAGCAGCCAACAAATTCTGTGGATTCTTCTGATCAGTATATTTTCTCCTTTTTAAGCTCACCATCTTAAAATATTCTCTGCGTTTAAATCAGTGGCCTAGTGACCTAATTATTGTGATGCTTCTTGAAGTGCAACATGCTTTCTCGGTATCTTTGATTAATTTGATGCTTTCTCTTATGAATCAGTGAAAGGCCTATGGTTTGATACATATTAAATTGTTCATGGTTTTTTTCTAGACAGACAAATTCGTTCAATACTCGATATTTCTTTTTTCGTCAATTCTGTATTTTTATTCAATTTTGTAATCCTACTAGTTGCAATGATTTCTTTTAGCTAAGAGTAAAAACACACTGATAAATATTTCCATTGCAGTTAAGTGTTTGCTCTTACAACTATAATAGACGTTGCTTTGTAACCTGAAGGCATTATGAAGGTATCTAAGTGTAGATATGTGGAATGTGGGAATTTGACAAGTGCTGTTTTCATTAATAAAATATTTGTGAAAAAATTCCAAGTATTGAATGAATGTCTCACTGGATATTGTTATCATTAGTATTGGTGTGGATTATGCGTTGAAAATGGATGAAGAGTTTTCCTATATATAAAATAAATAGGATTAATCAAATTTCAAATTTAGTAGCTTCAAAATATTATACTGTAGCAATTGAGTAGTCTAATGATTTCCATAAGGATTATTTGAAACTGTAGTTTAAATAATTTTCACGGTTGATTTATTAAATTTGCAACTTGGAACATTTATTCATTCATTTGTTTGGGACAAGATGATCAGTACTTTTAAGCCCACCCCCCACCCCCACTCCAAACCGGGGGGGGGGGGGAATCTTCCTGTTTTCCTCATCAAAAGAATCTGACAAATGCATACTCACATGGTCCTTAATTTTTAATCATGGTTGGTTGGTTAATTACCTTGCTACCTGCTGTTGCAGAATTTCCCATATGATTGCAATCTTAATGCTAAATTGAGATAATTGGATGATGACCACAGGAAAAGCCTTTCAGGCAAAATGCTTAAGTTGATTTCTGGATCATGTTACTTGCCTCATCCTGATAAAGAAGAAACTGGTGGAGAAGATGCTCATTTTATATGTAATGAGGAACAGGCGGTAGGGGTGGCAGATGGAGTTGGTGGGTGGGCAGACCTTGGAATCGATGCTGGAGAGTACTCCCGTGAACTGATGTCCAATGCAGTGAATGCTATTAAGGAAGAGCCCAAGGGTTCTATTGACCCAGCTCGGGTGCTGGAAAAAGCGCATTTAAGTACTAAAGCTAAGGGTTCATCGACTGCATGCATCATTGCACTTACTGAACAGGTATGCTACCTTTACATTTAAGATGTCTTGTTTAGAATGTACCAATAGTTTCAATCTTGCTGCAGTCCCACTGACTCTAGTGCTGTGTGCTTCCTTGTTATGTATCAGAAAGGACTGGAGTATTCTTGGTGCCATTTGTTTATTGTTATGGAAGTATTTTCCACTTGGGCAGTATATTACCACGATTTTTAATATCTGGCGTCAAGTTAATGTATTAGCGATTGAATGAGAAAGGACATAACGAAAAACGTAAGAGGCTGAAAAATAATTTATTACTAGTAAAATGATTACGTAGAAAAACAAGGGTTATGTGATATCCATGTATATGTTCAGTCATTTTCTGCTCAACGTACAACCATGCTCTGTGGAGCTATAAGTGGCCACTGCAATGTGTAAAATTACAGTTGGCAACTAGAAAGTTTCAGTAATGATTTTATCAAGTTTAGAGTTGAGGCTCTTCTCTAAGAGAAATACTGTTTGTTTTGGCGTGAGTAGTTTGTCTCTTCTGAAGTTGAGCATTTTATTTTTCAATTTACATAATATACATGCTTTGTTATTTCAGGGTGAATAGTGACTTGACTTGGTTATATGTCTTAGTACTTAATATATATTCTTTGGCTTGGCATTTAATAATCATAGAAGAGATTTTTAATTTGTTGATTTCAATGTACATCAATTGGTTGTTGTGTTCTTTTCGGTAGGCACTTCATGCTATCAATTTGGGGGACAGCGGTTTTATGGTGGTCCGTGATGGTTGCACCATCTTCCGATCCCCAGTGCAGCAACATGGTTTCAATTTCACTTACCAACTGGAAAGTGGAACTAATGGTGACTTACCTAGTTCTGGTCAGGTGTGGTTTTATGTGCTATGCTCTAAGCCCTTAATTTTTTCCATTGTGGCAAGCTCAAACGGGCTGCAGTCATAGCCTTTAGTTGTTAGAACCAAGTATGAGATGAGGTGCTTGTTTTGATAGTGTAGAAAAGCTATAGTCTGTTAGTTTCTCCTATTGGATGATATGGTTTCATGCGTATAATTGGTTCTGGTTGAGTTGATGTCAGGTGTTTGCAATACCTGTGGCTCCTGGGGATGTGATAATTGCTGGAACAGATGGGCTGTTTGACAACTTGTATAACAATGAGATAACAGCCGTGGTGGTACATGCCATAAGAGCCGGCTTAAGTCCTCAAGTGACAGCTCAGAAGATAGCAGCATTGGCACGCCAGCGGGCTCAGGATAAAGACCGCCAGACCCCTTTCTCAACTGCTGCTCAAGATGCTGGTGTCCGTTATTATGGTGGCAAACTTGATGATACTACAGTTGTTGTTTCCTATATTACGTCCTCTCAAGATCCCTAACTTTTCCTCTCTCTATCTTGTATATGATGCCCTTTTTGTTAGGACGACGCAAGTGTAAGAGATACAAGTCAATGGTGGAATGTTGCACTGTCTACCAAATTTTGAGAGAGAGAGACAGAATCACGGTTAATCAAATATGGATTGTACTTGTAGAGATTTTGTATGAATGGAACTCGTCGGGTTCCACCAATGCTGCGTTGCAGGGGATCTGCCTACAAGTTGAAATCCATTATCACCTATGCTTTCTCTCCATTTTTCAACCCAATTTTTTCCTTCCTTTTGGTGTGAATTAACTAATGTCAATATGCGCCCCCAAAATGTCGGAACTACTTGAAGGGGTTGCTTTTAACGAACAATGAATGTGAAAAGTAGCTTATTTTGGATAGAAGCCCGATTGAAAATATTGCATCTGTTTGGAAGGGTTTAAACCCAATGTAGCTTGTTTGCAATAAGCTCCCTGAACGTGCGTTCCAATAGAAGCCCAAAGAAGAAGCTTATTTTGAAGAGCTTATTGGTTTTAATGTGTCAGATATCGTGTAGCAACTGAACACAAGCATTAAAAAGCGTGTCGGTCTCATTTGTCAACGGATCAACAGCCTCATGCATGACAAGTGGTAGTGGGAATTAGGAAAGTTATTTTTTCTTTCTTTTTCTTTTTCAAGAGAGTAGCAAAGTTAAATTTTAGCACTCAAAAGTCATAACACACCTTTTTTTTTTGGGTAAAATCAAAAGTCATGTGACTCCCATTCAAACTGCTTCAATCCATATGCTATCATAAAATGGACTCTTGATGTACTTCCTTCCATTTTTGTTTTTATGTTTCACTTTATATTAAAATATTTTTTTTATGATTTTTCTACAGTTTTAAAATTTAATTTACTCATTAAATTTCATTTCTTTCATATTAAATTATTTTAAATTTATTGTATTATGTAAAATCATTTTTTTAATCATGTTTTATTGTTTAGTAAAACTCTTACCCGTTTTGATAATTTTACAACCAAACTTATTTTTACTCAATCATAATCCAAACAACTTTTTTACCAATATCACTTGTACAAACTAACTTTTTTTAGGGGGTGTTTCGATGGAAGTCAAACCATGGTTTTAAAAGTGCTTTTACGGTATACGAAATAAATATGCAGAGGAGTTTATCTCGTTTTAAGGAAAAGTGCTTTTGAAAAGCACTTTTCTATCTTGCCAAACACCTTCGTACTCCAATCCAATCACAATTCAACTTATCTAATTTAACTTTTATCCAATCTTACTTTTCTAAAAGTCAAGTTGGAAATAAACTACTTTTTTCACTGCCAATCCAAATAGACCCTTAAGCTCGAGGTAAAACAATTATTTAATTACACATAATAATGAGTTTCATAATAAACTGTTATTTACAGGAATAATTTATGCCTTAATAAACTGCTATTAACATAAATTTACTAAACAAAGGTATAATTTTTAAACAATATCATATAAGAATTAAATATTGACAAAATTTATCATCTCATAAATTTAATGTGGCAAGCCTTGCACCTAAAATTTAAATTTGATCTAAAAAATTTTATTATTGAATATAGAAATTAAGGAAATTAAAAATTACATAGACTCAGAGGAAAAAAGAAATAGAAAGAGCTGGAAAAATTCCAAGTTTCCAACCCTGATCAAGAAAAGGCCAGCTAATATCCAGCCCGTCCCACGTGGCCCATAATCAACTATGGGCCAGCACATTTTGAACAGGTACAAGAGACCTAACCCATTTTCATTCACAAGAGACGGCCTGTGGGCTGAAGACTAGGGTCTTTTAATTTTTTTCCCGTAAGTGGCCATCGCACCTAGTTGACAGCAATGATTAAACAACCGGACCATGCAGTTCGACCGGTTAAACCATTGACCAGACTTCTTAACAATTTGGTTTGGACCCAAAAAACTGCTTATATGATTGATCCCAATTAGATTGGAGTTGAACCTTCATTAAGCCAAAACCCGTAGTTGGACTAGAAACTAGAACAGTTTTTAGAAAACTGGACGATTTTTTAGCATAATTGAAAAATTAAAAAAGATATAAGAAAAATACACACTTGACTCCCTAAATTTTAGACTATTTGTATTGACTCCCTAAATTTTTGGGCTGATCACGGGACGGGACAGGACTGAGATACCCCGTCTCGAGTCTCGTCTCGAAAAAAGGACAAGACATAATTTCTATCTCGCGTCCCGTCTCGTCCCGGTTCTGTTCTAGTCTCGATCGGGACCGGAACGGAACTGAGACATCCCACCAAGACCCCACTTGTTAAAATTAAAAATTAAAAAAAACTCTTAAATCGAAGGGAAAAGGAGAAAGAGGGAAGCAGCAAAAATTTTCAATTTGATCCTTTCCCAATCAAATGAGGCTATTGTAAAAAAAGCAACATTAAAATTGAATAAAGGAACGCAAATCACTAATCGATCCCATTGCCACTTAAAGGAAGGCCAAAAATAATAATAAAGGAATGAATTTTTTTTCAACTCAAGCATAACACACAAACAAAAAACCAGCCCAGACAAGCAATTGAGCATATGGGTGTCCTCTCCCTTTTGATCTTTCCATTTGCTTGAATCAACTCAAAACCCATAGTGACTTCTTTTTCCTTCTCCCGTCAGCCCCAAACATGAAGAAGAGAGCTGCCATATGAGGAAAGGAGGAGAAATAAAGGAGAAACATGGAGAGATAAGCGTCAAGCAGAGAGACCCAAACGACTAGGGAGTGAGTATCGGGGACGGTAAGCACTAGGGAGATGAAGAAACTTACATTACCGAGTGGGATGACTAGATCTAGAATGGGGAGGGTGGTGGATGGCGATTTGCGATAGGAGATAGACGCAAATCGCAGGGCAAAATTGGAGTTGATCGTCGACGTTAAGCAAGAGAAGCCACCGGTCGACGCCATAGTGCTTAGATGCTAGGGGGAAATAGAGAACTAGAGAGTAGAAAGGAAGAAGTAGAGACCACGATTCTGCTAGTTTGGGGTTCGAATTTTTGAGAGACTGATAGAGAAAGAAAGTAAAGGGAAAAAATAAAAGGAAGGAGAAAGACTGAATAAATATTAAACAAAACAACAAAATAAAAAATAAAAATAAAGGAACCGGGACGGGACGTCCCGATGGTTATTCCGCGTTTCGTCCCGTCTTGGTCCTTTTATTGTCTTGGTCCCGGTATTGTCCCGTCCCGGTTCCATTCAGGACGGGTCTGTCCCCTGTCCCTAAATGACCGGGACGGGTACACTTACGAGCACTCCTGCTAAATTTTAGACTATTTGTAACCATGTCGTATTATGTTATTAAAAATTTCATATATTACGGTGCTAAAATCATCAGCTGCTGGTCTTTTTGTTTCAACATTTAGTCTAGCTTTCTAAACAATATTCTGATTGGAATGATTTAAACAAGTCTGATTTAAACATCTGATTTAAATATTTTAAACATACATAACTTCAAATATATAAGGTTTTGGTGCATTTTTAATGATTTGTAAATTATGATGTATATTATTATATTAGTTTATCAGGTCATCATATTTTAAATTATTCAATAATTTGGTACTTATATATATTAATTATATGTAGATAATATTATTTTTAATAAATTATTATGTTGTTAGTTCGACAAGAATGATCTGACTAATCTGACTGTTTAAATCATGATCCTGATCGATCTCTTTTTTTTTTTTTGAGTAAAAATGATCCTGATCACTTAAAACATTGGCTGTTGACAGCAGTAGCGGTTTGGCCACGCTTGGGGCGGACAGCACAAGAGCCGAAACGACATTTTTATTTCCCTTTTTAATTTGTTTAAATATATAATTAACAAGAGACAAACGACTTTGTCAAGCAGGGGAGACAACTTCAGAGTTCAGAGTGCAGCGGCCAGCGGTGAAGCACTTACTAACTACGAAGAGGCTGTTTGGCTCAGCGTTTCAGGGTCAATAAGTTACTTTTTTTAATTATAAGCAAGTTTGAAGAATTTACGGTGTTTGGGTTGACCTTTGAGGCTTTGCCCAGGAAGAGGATAGGATTCCTCATTCCCGTGAGTGAGTCTCACCTTTCTTAATGTCGTAAAGGGAGTTGTGGTGCCCAGATTCTTCCAACACGGCCTCTTAAAGAAATTCAGATTCTCATGGCGGGTCGTAGAGATACGTTGCTGGCCAGAGAGAAAGGCCAGTCTAATCTTGGATCTCGGATCTTTGTTGCTGTAGTTGTTGGTGTTCTTCTCGGTTGCGTTTTCGCCTTCCTCTTACCTCATGGTTTCGTCAGCTCCAATCGTCTCTTCCGTAATCGTCGAATCGAAATTCCCAATCTTCAGGTTTTTTTTTTTTTTGTAACTCTGAAATTACTACTATAATCTAATGTTGCATTTTGCTCGCCTCAACTAAATATTTGCCGTGGAGTTTGTTAAAACTTTTGTGTTTGATCTAAGAATTACATATACGTGGTTATTCAGTGTGTGATTCTCTTAGGACTATACTCGGTTTGTTAAAACCTTCCCCTTGATGCTGATATAATATTTACAAATTTCATTTTAGCCACGGATTCGATCGCTGTTTATTGAATAGTCGCTGCTAATTAAAGCCAAATTTTCTTTAAAGATCGTCTCCTCATGGCATGACCTCCTCAAGGATCTTGAGCCGCCATTCATGCACGAATACCTTCGTTTTATATTAATTACTTGATATTGAATATTTTGTTATATTATTACTGGTACTTTTGGACACACACCACCTAATGAGATGGAAAAAAAAAGCATATGCTGAATCTGAAATAGAAGATATGCGTCTGTCCATGTAAATAAACAGCAAAATGGGTAGGATTGGCCATCTGATTCTTGTTCATTCCATGCTTTAGTTTGGACCTGGGACTTGTCTTATTGGCGACCTTTATTTATTATTTTTTTCGAGGACAAGATTAACAGGACAGACCTTGTGCGTTAGCCTCTTGGCCTACGTTACATAATACTGCCCCACCTTTTGGCCTTCTCTGTCTCTCTTAACTTTCTCCTTTATTTGTTAGATTGGTTCATCTACTTGTGAATCACTGGAGCAAGTTAATGCCCTAAAGGTAGATATTCTAACGGAGACACAGAAGAATTCGGAGCTCAAGAAGCAGGTCAAAAGTCTAATGGAAAAACTGCGGCTAGTTGAGCAAGGAAAGGATCATGCCCAGGAACAGTTTGTTATGTTGGGTGAGAATCACAAGGCCGGGCCATTTGGCACTGTCAAGGGTCTGAGAACTAATCCGTCCGTCATTCCTGATGAATCTGTGAATCCCAGGTTGGCAAAAATCTTGGAGGAAGTTGCTATTTATAAAGAACTTATAGTTGCATTGGCAAACTCTAACGTGAAAGAGATGTTAGAGGTTTGGTTTACAAATATCAAGAAGGTTGGCATACCTAATTATTTAGTAGTAGCCTTGGATGATACCATTGAAGAATTCTGCAAATCTAATGATGTCCCAGTGTATAGAAGAGATCCAGATGAAGGAATTGATACAATCGCCAGGAAAGGAGGCAACCATGCTGTCTCAGGGCTTAAATTTCGCATTCTAAGAGAATTTCTACAGCTGGGTTACAGTGTCCTTCTTTCAGACGTTGACATTGTATACTTGCAGAACCCCTTTGACTATCTCTACCGCGATTCAGATGTGGAGTCTATGTCTGATGGTCACAATAATATGACAGCATATGGGTTCAATGATGTATTTGACGAGCCTGCGATGGGTTGGGCACGATATGCTCACACAATGAGAATATGGGTCTATAACTCTGGTTTCTTCTATTTAAGACCAACTCTTCCCTCAATTGAGCTTTTGGATCGGGTAGCTAACCGGCTATCTCGCGGATCAAAATCATGGGACCAGGCTGTTTTTAATGAAGAACTCTTCTTCCCGTCACGTCCTGGCTATGATGGGCTTCATGCTTCCAAAAGAACTATGGATATGTACCTCTTTATGAATAGTAAAGTTCTCTTTAAGACTGTTCGAAAGGATGTTAAACTTAAAAAACTGAAGCCAGTTATTGTACACGTTAACTATCATCCTGATAAATTTGCTAGAATGAAGGCAGTAGTGGATTTCTATCTCAACGGGAAGCAAGATGCATTGGAGCATTTCCCAGATGGTTCTAAGTGGTAGGAGCTTTCGCCAAATTGTGGTTCTTACCCGTGAAGGACTTGCATGTTCTAATTTATCGGACAGGAGCATTTATAATAGTACCTCCCGGGGCTCGATTTTAATTTCCAATTTGCATCTTAAGTGTGAAGGACTTTGGTGTGAGCTTTCTTTCAACGCCCCCCTGGCATATTGACTTCATCCATTGTTTTGCGTGTTGTCACATTGACTGGAGTTTGTTACCTTCTTTTCTTTTTCCTTTTTCTTTTTTCTTTTTTGTTTGGGGGGGGGGTGTTTCACAGTGGATATCTTATTGGTTGAGCTAGCTTCCTGTCCACTGTACTCATTAGATTTCCGTTTGTGCTTTGTGCATTAGGTTGAAATTCAGTGTCTCCATAGAATGGAATATAGAGCGGTTGTTTAACTAGCAATGACTGGACTGTTTAAAATGCATTTAAGGTCTACAAATGCTAGTGTCTTGGAAGTAACGGTGACTCGTGAGCTTTCAGATTTCAACTTTTTGTCACTCGTAGATTGGACGGAGGAGCCCTTGAATTCTCGTTGCTCGCTTATTCGTTCGGGAAAAGTAGTGCAAAATCGAAGTGATACTTTGGATATAAATGTCATCGTGCTGGCTTCGGTCTCCTCCTTCTCCTCTTGTCCGAAACCCATCATCGGATTCCCTCTCAGGTTCTCACCATCAACAGCCTTATCGCACTACCCTTCCACAGAAGAATCTTGTTTATGTAGATTGAATAAGAAAATCTTCCAAATCTAAAATATCTCTAATCTTTCTTTCTTTCTTTTCTTTTTTTTCATAGTAAGGGTGTTTTGGACTTTTTATCATCTAAATACACATATTTGATTAAAAATATTGAAGGATTTTTTTGGGACCAAAATTGAAGGATTTCGTATGCACACCAAACACGCTTTAAAATTCAGTAATTCATATATATTCCCATTTTTATTCTAATTCCGATTTTTTTTTCCAATTTCAAATCCATCAAAAAGGATTGCATTGTGCAAAATGGGGCCTGCTTTTGCTTCAAATGGTATTGAGTTCTTTCCATGGGTGTTTGGATGAAACCAAACCATGGTTTGAAAAATAGCTTCTGAAAATAGATTATGGGGAGAATAAATTTTGTGAAGAATAGATTTTGCGAAAAAGTGACTCTGAGAAGTGAGAGTGTTTGGATAGTTGTTATCAGAAACACTTTTTATATATACAAATTACTAAAAAAGACATAAATTAATATGATAATTACATAAAAAGATAGATTTTATGATATATTTTAATTTGAAAGAATAAAATTGTTAATAATATATTTTTTACCAACATAATTAATAATACATAAGATAATATAATTAATGAATAATTAATATGTGTATATATATTTATAAGATATAAGATTAATATGTTTATAAAAAATTAATTGAGGGATGTTAAAGTCATATTATTGTTGAGATCTACTTTGACAGGCACAATCATACTCTTTAATTTGAGCCAGAAGCAGAATGCATTTACTTTTCCTGAAAACCATGGTTTTGGCCCAAACCATGGTTTCAGATTATGGCATCAAAATTGATACTGTTTAGATGACATTCTATCCAAACTATGGTTTTGCTTCTCAAACCATGGTTTTGGGAGTCACCCAAACAGGCCCTTAATCTAATGGAAGCTATTGATTTTTTTTCCCCATATATAGCTGTGTATGATGTGTATACATGCTGGTCATTATTCATGTTAGTCTCTGGCCCCCAAAAAAGAAAATGAAAGAAATAGTAGTCCAATTGGATTATTTTTCGTTCAGATTTTTTTTCCCTTGGAAATAAGGGATCATAAACGAAAAATAATGGTATGAGATCGTAACGCCTGGAAAACTAGTGAACAATTAACTAGAAAATTGAATAATTTTCTGATGTATCCTAAACTAAATCGCATCAAAGCCATCCTTAAACAGGTTAAAGAATTTGTAAGCCTTTATTATCAAGTGTAAGAATCAAATGACAGCGTAATTCAATTTGGAAAGCACTGGTAAAACGTGTTAGAATAATTTGAGTACCTCTCTCGCAAGAATTAAAACTAAAAATCTCAAAAGCCTTATTATCTTCCATGATTATCGTTGAGGAAGGGCGTTTCTTTGCCCGAAGGGTAAAATTTAACACAGTTTTACGCTGATCTTCCAGAGTGCCGAGTATCTAAATTCAACATCACACCTTGAATGATTAGAAAGGCAGCTTTGAGATGGTTCAGGAGACATCTGATTTGTGAAAACGACAATTGGGTTTTATATGACTACGTTTATGCCTCGAAGGCGCAGGAAGGAAGAGGCCCATTTGATTTTGAAGGGCAATAATAAATTTTACGAATTGCATTGCCCAACAGTACAAGGCCGCAACGCTTTGTCGTTTATCTCACGCGTTGGGGAAATGTTGTCGTTGGTTGCAGGAGCAAGGGACCCTACCGTCTAATTCTTTTGCCTGGGACAGGGTAACGTCCTCAGTCGCGTTCAGGTCCCCCCGTGGGCTGTCTCGTCTCGTCTCCTCTGCCAGTGCCACGTTGAGGTGGCCAAAATCCCAGAGGCCACGCCTTATCGCTTACCAATTTCAATCATGTAATGTGACTGATCTCCCTTTTGCCCTCCCATAAAGTTTACAAATCAAGTGGCCCTTTCACATTATTTCTGTCTCAGTTTCCCTGGGATTCTTTGAGGAAAGTTCAATTATGGCTGCTCCCGAGTTTACTTGTTATTATTGACCTCCTCCTCACAGTTCAGATGACTGCATTTGTGCTCACTCCTCATTACTTGTTGCGAACAACAGGCTTCATATAGAATCTCTCCTTTGTCCATGGATCACTTTTTACGTTGATGGGACGTGTTTGTGTGTGTTCCAACATCTTTATGCCCCAGAATTCAACTGAAACTGAGGATCGGAACAAAGAGAAAAGGAAAGAAAAAAGTCGAATCGCCACTTCACTGTTCTACTCAAAGAAAATGTGTGGTGTCGATGGGAGAAGACCCCATGATTCCCATGAAATCCTTTAAAGCGGTTGAATACGCAAATGATACCAATGAGCTGTCCATATTGCGTGAACGCACGTCCATGCGGATAATATATTCCCATTGCCCATTGGGACGCCCACCTACGACCCCTTGGATAATGGTTTATTGCTGAATCGGCTAGGAAAACATGCTAGGATCCGAAATTTCATCTCGCTGTCTACTACAACAACTCAATTTATTTTATTTCTTATATTTATTATTTTTTAAAATTTATTTAACTTAAAAAAGTTAATATACATATTATAATATGATATCATGCACTAAACCTGCAATTTAAAGCACTAAGCAAGATTTTTTTTTTTTAAGGAGGAAAGCCATTAAGATTCAGAGTCCCCTCCTAAAATCCTAAACACAAAATACAAGGGGCGCAATAATTAACTGAAGTCTTCTCGGAACACATAAATGCATGAAACACGCATTCATGATGCAGTAAACCGAACCCGAGGAGAGATTTGGGAAAGCAGGAACTCACTGGTCAACATGATTTGTCCTATTTCCCCCAATTTCCTTCTTCCAAGTATTTCCGTAGAAAATAATCTCTGAGTCGAATTCGCTTGGATCTTTTGAAGGGGAAAAAAAAATAATTCACTCTCATTTTCACTTTTCGCGGGCTGTTGATTTATTCTGGGGGCAAGCAATTATTTTAGCAACTTGCAGCAAATTGGAAGAAAGAAAGAGAGGACGGCGATGGTGTCACGGCACATCACTGCTGTCCATATTATCTAGACGCTCTAGCCACTCGTGTTGGTCTTTTTCCTCATAGCTTGTCTCTTCTCTCTCTGGTTCAGGCTTTAGCAGTGAGTGACACAGGGAGCGTCTTCCCCTTCCTCTCCTCTTGGTCCCCAAACATCCGTTCCTGGTCTTCCTCTGTCCTTTTCTGCAGTTCATTCGTTTTTCATCATTCGCAATTAGGAATAACTGTGTGCTTAAGTTACTCTCTGTCTTGCTGTTGCGGTGCTGCTGCTTCTCTTGGACTCTCCAATGGCCATACTCTTTCATTCTGTACTTGTGAGTTCCGCATTTCTTCTCATGTTCTCTGTCTCCTTGTATCCTCACAGCTTTGTGCTTTGATTCATCTAAATTTAGTTTTGACTGGTTAGTCATTCGTGCAGACCCAGCGGTTAAAATATGTCTCCGTAGTGTCTTCTTTATTTTTTCTGCTTGCTCTAATTTGGCTTGAAAAAAGTAAGGTGTGTGGGAAAAATACAGCATCCGGTAGGGACTTTGAGACATTACGACTTTTTGAGACTGTTCGCTTCTTTTCTCGGCCACCAAACGAAGAAAGCACTTCTGTGGTTGGGGTCCTGCGAATTACTGCGCTTATTCTATCCTGTTCGATCTGTATATTTATTTGCACAAGCATAATTTGAAAAATTATGCAGTTCCGAGCTAGATCTGAATTTTGAATAGACCAGAGAATTTCTGTGAGGCCCACTTTCATCCCGTCCACCGGAGCTCTTCCTTTTTCATTTGTTGACTGGAATTTGCTGTTCTGCTTCCATTCCTCCGACGCGCTCACCCCCGTTCAAAACAAATATGTATATGGTTTGTCGCTCATTCCTTAAGAAGTCAAAATACTAGGCTTACTCTACCCTCGTTATGATCAGACAGGCAGGAGAAGGATTGATTTTAGCTGATAAGTCACGTAGTTTTTGTTTTAATCTATTTTTGCGTCTGCGACCTGGTAGAATTCCCTATCGTCTACATTTTACTGGTACAAAAATCGCTAATATAAACTTGTGAAAACGGCTTTTCTGCTGAGAAATTCATCGTATCAAATTGCATTTTTTTCTGTTAATTAAAAGCAAGGGAACTATTAGTGGGGAACCGATTGGAATGATTACATCTTATAACACGTTCAAGGATTCTAAAGAGAGAATTATTCCTCTTTCATTTGCCATTAGCCCATCACCAGCACTAATTAGGGTGAGGGATAATGTGTCCTTTTTTCCCCCGCGGTGTATGAACTTATACAGCTGATTCTTTTGTTCAAATGATTGTTGGAAACAGATCCTTTGCTGGTTTTTCCTTTAGGAAAGATGAAATTGAGGTCTGAGAAAGGATGGAAGACTTTGGTGCCTCTTCATTTGAAGGGTAAATCAGCACTCAGTTTTTCCCTGTTCCCCAAAGTCAATTCAACTAGCTATGGTCCTGGCGAAACCCCAGTTTATCTGAATGTATATGACTTGACACCCATGAATGGTTATATGTACTGGACAGGCCTAGGTATCTATCATTCTGGTGTTGAAGGTATGGCTATAGTCTTTTTCTTGAATTTGATCTGTGTGTCTCAATCCAAGCTTAATATATACATTAATTTGGCTTCTGCGCTTGAGACTTTGGTTTTTTATGTTGGAGGAACACGTTGCTCTTGTTAAAGGAAATTCATTCTCCATCGTGATTAGAAAGCATTGGCAGGGGAGAGAAGCTAAATTTAATCCTTGTATGTGACTTTATGTAAGCAATTGTCTTGGTAGGTCCTAAAATGTCTAAAATTATCTTATGGTTGGAGGAGGGTGCTTTTATGAACCATGTGACAAGTGGGGGGATGTGGAACTGACCTGGTGCTCTTGATTAGTGATGATACTAGTAGGCACGTGATGATTTGCCTAATAATATTTTGGCAAGTAATTATAGAAGAATGTTCTGAGTTATTTCAGAAGTCACTAAATTCTGTTTGTATGAGAATTATTTGACAGTCCATGGGGAAAATCTTGGTAATTGTTTGTAGTGTGAATAATATCAAATCAGACAGATTTTGCTTATTTTAGCATTATGATAGTTATATTCATCAGGAAATCATCTCCCTCCTCTAAGCTCTGCTGTCAACAACTCGACATTAGGGTTGTCTCATCGTGTTGTTTCTTTTCTAATTTTAATCTGACACTGGTAACAACTAGAAGGCTCTCGAGGCGGGGAAACTGGGAATGCAACTGAGCACTCCTGGAAATGGTCATCTCTTTTATATTTAGCTGTCTTCTTTTTATGCTTATTTACAAATACCCAAAACTTGCTGCTTGGCCCTCTCTGACCTTCTCAATGAACTTAGCTGCTGATCTTAAATTTTAATCGGGGGCTTGTCTTCTCTGGTGCGCCCTTTGCACTGTGCAGTATATGGTGTAGAATATGCATTTGGGGCTCATGACTATCCCACTAGCGGTGTCTTCGAGGTGGAACCTCGGCAATGCCCTGGGTTCAAGTTCAGGAAGTCAATATTCATAGGAACCACCTGTTTGGATCCTGTACAGGTCAGGGAGTTCATGGAACGCCAGTCAACAAAGTACAATGGGGATACATATCACTTAATTGTGAAGAATTGCAACCACTTCTGCAAGGACATCTGTTTCAAGCTGACAGGGAAATCAATTCCAACATGGGTTAATCGACTGGCCAGACTAGGTATGCCTTTCTTTCCTTTAACTTCCGATAACATGCTAAATCAAATGGGGTTTGTTTTTCAAGATACAAAGAGTAAGTTTATTCTGGATTTTGTTTTTGACGATACTGTATGGTCAAGAACTGAATTTGCGTCATTCCAAGTCCTTAATGCCCGTTTGCCCTGTTATCATATGCACAGTCGTTGTTATTGATCTGGAAGAGAATAGAATCACGTTCTTGATTGATTTTACATAATTAATATAGTTTCTAATGTAACTTGAGCGATATTCCTTCATAAGGGGAGGAAAATTGGTTGATATATGGCGTGTGAGGTGGTAAAAACGCACATTCAAGTCTGCGCAACTCGTAGGTCATGTCATTCATTAGATTTAATGGCAATGATGGGCTTCGCCATAAGTACACCATTAATATCATCGTCATTGAACTTGTGGCAGGTTCAGTTTGCAACTGCATTCTTCCAGAAGCACTCAGAATTTCTGCTGTGAAGCATGATCCTAATTTTCAGAGTCGTGACAGTGAAAAAAGAAGGCTGCGAAGTGCCGTCAACTGCCTGTCCTCAATCTCAATGCGGCAAAAGCACTTGTCAACGTCTTCACTGTTTCTACAGTCACCCCTGAGAGGGTGCTTATCGTCATGGGAATTGAGGAAGTCCATTAAAGAAGGATAACAAGCTAATCTGAGAAGGTAAGAAATGCGAATGTTTGATCAGGACCTGTCTTCCTACTTCTGACTCAGTCTTGAACATTGGAAATCTTTTATAAGTAGCTTTTGCATTTCCCCTTGAAAACAACGTCGCTTGAAGTTTTTTATACTTTTTAACTGTTATGGCTCCATCTGCTGTACATCCAATTGAGAATTATCGGTTCGGTCCTTTCGGAGGTGAAGAAACTAGATTTATAAAGCTTCACCTCTGTCAGCTGTATTTCTTTGTTGTAATATGCCGCGTCTAGTTTAAATTTATTTCCTTGTTATAAATTTTACTAACTTCTTTTTTGATATAAGATCTAATTAACCAAATTACTTTGTTTAAAAAATCTGTTACTATTAGTTAAAGGTAGTAAAATGTGGAAGAGATGTCCTTTCAACTAACTAAACTAGATGAAATAATAAGCATGTATGAAAAAATAGATAATACGCTTAATTGGGAAAAAATTATAAAAATTAAAATCTTAAAAAAGACTGAACAGAGTATTAAATGCCCCCCCCCCAAGACTTTGGGTGTTTTTGTTTGGGCTTACAGGTATTTTTTTATAAGAGATATATTAAAAATGTGTCGACATTTAATGTATTTTTTTATATTTAATTTCGATTAATAACGTGTTTCTTTTTTCTTTTTTTTTCTCATTGATCATATTTTTTCTCTTTTTTCACTTCTCTCCCATCCACATTTTTTATAGGTAAAGGTATTTTTTAAAAATAAATTATATTTTTATATATTTACTTTTAAACTAATTTTAACATTATTCCAATAATCATCTCTTATAAAAAAAATGGGAAAGAGTAGCAATTACCACATGTATTCTATAAATATAAAATTTTGTTGAGGTTCGGAAAATTCTCATTGAGATTTTCATACCGTGCGTTCAATCCAACAATCATAATTCAGGAATTCTTGGAATTACCCTGTCCGGAAATTGAAAGTTCCGATGTCAAGTTCTGGCGTCCCTCAAGATCCGGAACCTGTTGAAGTTAGGTGTAGATACCTCTCGCCTTGGACTAATTTATAAATAGTTTATTAATTGTGATCGACAAGATATGATAACAGCTATGCCAAACAAGTCCTTAGAAGACTGATAGGTTCATCATAGGTAACCACTTTTCAGTGGGGCGAAAGGGAATTTGGCAACAAAGATGATGAATTTTGAAGGGCAGAGGCCTATCGACACTTGCGAATAAGTAGAAGGTCATTGAGTGGTAAGTAAATTCAGTGAGGGGTAAGGGAGAAACAATGTTAATCACTTAATCCAAATTCAGAACCTTAATGCTTCGGCCGGGAGGGAAAAAAGTACATGTCGGGTTATATGGGTCCTCCACAAAATGTTGAAAGCTGCTAGCTAGTCAGCACCTGTCCAAGATTAATTTCTTTAGCACGTTACAACTTACAACCTAACCTTGTTTTCCGCAAGCATTACATCAAATAAACAGAATCAGCAATGGTATTCTGAACCAGCTCACTGCAGAGGATTTCATGATCGCCCGTAAAACTTTTATAAATAAATAAAAGGCCTCTGCTTTGAAAATTGCAACAAAGCCCAGAGTAAGTACCTATAATCAGACAAATATTATATGAATGCTTGTGCTGCACAGGCTTTTCTATATTTTCTTTAATTTCTTCATTTTTTTTTCCTGTAGAGGTAGAACCATACAAGGAATATACAGACCCCCAATCCGTATTAGCAATTGCATTATAAACCTGCAGGAGAACGAAAGAGAAGATTCAGCAGTATGCTTCATGGCCTTTCTAAAACAGACGACATCATTTTATCACAATGAAAAAGCTGACAACCACTCACATGACTCTTAAATTGGGTGCTTCGACTATAACCCATATATTAAAGGTTACTTAAAACATAAAAAAAATAAAGCAATTAAGACACTTCGGTGCTCACACTATTTACAAGAAAATTACGCGAGTGCCATTTTGAAGTTTAGGTGAATGTATTAAGAGGTATTGACACCCCGCGCAGAAGCTGTCCATTCGAGAACAACTACCAAATTTGAAACTAAGACAGAATATATGTTATTTCAGACCGGGGCCATCAAACAATCAATCGTCTTTCTGATGCAAAACACTAGGCAAGCTATTACCATTCAGAGAAGAATGATATATCCGCTTTTCTGCTAGCCCAATATCTGAAAGTATCAAGTTACCCTGCAAGCAGAAAATTTAATAAAGTAGATCTAGTAAGTACCAACAATTAGCTACGCAATAACACTGGAGACAAGACGTAAATATTCCCTTTTGAGTTAGAATGCACAAGTAGCTCCACGGAAAATAATGGGAATAAAATTTTACATAATATTGCAAAGTGTGAGCAGTAAGATTTTCATATCACAAACCAGCACTTGACACTCAAGAAAAAATTGTGAAGAGTATCCCCACACACCTTTTGCATTAGCTAAAGATCATGTGAAAAATAAAAGGAATGACTAACAAGATAAACCGAATCACCATATAATCTCTAAATAATTTTAGAACAAAAGCATATCCATGCAAAATATATATCAGTGACAGAATAAAGGCGATACTTGATTCAATTTCCATATATCCTTAATTTTTTCCCTCCTCATCTTCTATCAGTCTAGTCCCACTCCTTGTAGACTTCTATTCCGGATATACCACATCCAAAAGTCAAATCCAACCAACGTAGTGTCTAAACTGGTTAGGAATCCTTATTATGCAATCAGTGAGATACAACCCAAAGAAATAAATGTTATGCTGGAATTTATACAAGATATAGTATGATTAGCTTTCAAAATTTTTCATATCATATATCAGTCAACAAGAGTTGCATACCTCACCAGCCATCAACCGTCTAACATTATTAGCATATAGTTTGGGGTCATCCTTCTCTTGCTGTGAGGGGTAGTAAACAGGTAACCTTGTCACTTCCATATAATTCACAAACTGACAGAGAAGTAAAATTACATGGCGCACCTGCACTAAGAATATAAGTTAAAGTTTCTGCAGAAAAAGAAAGACCTCGATCTAATTATCAAGGAGATTCGAGTAAAGTTGCTAGGTTTGATGCAGGAAAGTTGCTCTGTAATCCAACAGGGCAAATGAACTATGACTTTTCTAAGCATGTACAAAGCAACTAGCCAACCATTGACTCCCTCAAATATTTCAAACCCAAGATCAAACTTCAAATCAGAGCAGGGTACAGACTAACTTCTCAGATTCAGGCCACGATTCTAGGGTCAAAACCTGACATTCTTACCAAAAATGAGAACCCTAGATGCTGGATACTATGTTAACTCCTATTGATAGAAATCATAGAAAAGTGGGAAAATTTTGATCATTGAATACTTGATAACTACTCACCCCGGATATGGAATCCCAGGCAGGACTGAATCTCTGGTAAGGGTATCTTAAAATTACAGGAAGCACAGGTACACTTGCCAAAAAACTGCCAGTCTTGAATGGAAGGAGAAAGTCCCCATTTGTGGTTGTACCTTCTGCATAACATCCAACAAGTTTAGATCTATAAACTATACCAGATATAATCGATATCACCTTCGATGGTGAAAGGAAATAAGACAGCACATGCAGCAGAACAACCAAGAAGGCATAAGTTTCAAGAACGAAATTTCTGGTTTAGATTTTGATATAGGAGCTGATTTAAAATATTATAGGTTAATTATATCATAAATTCATAATCATATGGTCAACCAGTGTTATTTTAAGAAATGACAAGCTTTCTGTCTTCAAAATAATTTCGACGCCTGCTCTTGGGGTCTTCCAGTTCAAAATTAGTCACATCAAATCCATGTATGGGCTTTTATTTTCTAGACATTTCCCTGACTGGTCCCTGTTACTTGTACTGTAACTATGCTCATTAGTAGCTGGTTATTGAACTTGAGCCACAAGTGGTAGACTACTCGGTCTTCAAGCTACAACAGTCCAACTCAAGTTAGGTGATATAATCATATTGAGACTGGCATCCTGATTCAATAAATACGTCGGTCATAGGATAAACTGCCAGACATGAAACAACCAGTATCATCAACTACATATTACAGAAAAGGCAGAAAATCAATTATGAGAGGAGCAACATCTATCATTTTATACTAATGCCAAAGACAGGTGCATAAAAGTGTGCCGAAGTTTTTTATTTTTAATTTCCATTTGTACTTTGTAGGTTTAAAATCACATGTCGTTCTGTGGTGAGAGATTTGTTGAGTTAGTATTTTATTTTTATTCTATAAAATTGAAACAGGGAAATTTTGGAAAGAGACCAAAACTTCTAAAGGCATATATTTAGTACAGATATGAACTGTCACATAAATTTAATAGCCTTAAGGTCCATCAGTTTTATTGAAACAAAATCGGACATCACAAAGAAACCATTTCATAATATCATAAAAACTGATAAGCTATATATATATATAGACACACACACACATACCATTCTTCCATATTCAAAACTACCAAGAAAGATAACCTCACGGTGATAAGCAAAAGGTAAATGTAACTAACAAGAAGAAATAATTTAAAGGGTAATAACCTGGAAATAGCATCATAATTGGGGCAGACTTGTTACGGTGAGCTTCTTGAATTCTTTCTGTGACAACACCTGCCGGGGAAAAATTTACAGGCCCATTCATCCCAGGATAAAGATTGGAGAAAAATCAAATCCAGCAACAATGCACAACACACAAAGCTCCAAAACATAACATATCATATTGAACAACGTACTAGGACCCTAGTTTGATGGACTAATATGCGCGCATGTCCATGATGAAAACGCCAGCTTTAGCACCTCTAAATACTAGATACAACAAATCGCAAGGGCTTGAGAAAGTCTAGTTTCGTTGACATTATATGATGCTCAATAGAAAAATGCCCAAGTTAAAGCTTGAGAAAGGCACAGGCAACAACTAAAATTTGCTTCTACTTTGAGAATTGCATTTAATCCTATTAATACCAAGCCAATGTTTCCCGATAGATAATCTTTAAAGGAAGGAATTTGAGCATAGTTCCCTTTTCCATAATCTATACTCAAGCCAATTCCAAGTTCTTTTCTATTTACCTCATGAAGCCCAAACTACTTCCAGATTCAATGTATGTTTGAACTCAACAGTTATTGAGCTTATCCTACTGGCAGTTGTAAGTTAGGTTCTCAAGAAAGCATGCTCACAACTAAAAGAAGAAAAGTCTAGCCATTCATTTCAACTCTACCGTAATTCCAGAATATAGCTTGTGTATGTTTCTGTTATCATTCAATCAAGAGAAAATCAAGAAGGTTCCTTGATGAATGACAATGTATTTGTAAAAAACTAATAAAAGAGTTGATTACTTCAACAATTTATTTATCACTTCAAGATGCAAAAGGCCTCAGGCAATTAGCATGCCATTGAACAAAAAGACAAGAAATTCACACAACAAGAGAGTGGAAAGATGAGGTATTTCCCTTTATGCACCTGACCTGAAACACCCTTGAAGTCTGAAGACTTGGACTCCCGCTGAACATAAACACACCCAAGGCACTTGCTGCCATAAAACATGACATAATATGTAAGCACCGGTTATCAAATTATTTCACTGATAAAGAAAAATGAGTGCACATTATTTCAGAGATAGAATAGAGCATTCTCAATTGATAAATCATAAATTCATCACAAAGTGAAAAAGAGCTGATCAACCACATCAAAAGAGCAAAAGGGAACACATTAAGAAAGCCAACAAACCTGATAAGACCAATTAGAGGAAGTCTAGCCACTGATCTCTTCAGCAATGAAATCCACAATTGAAATCAGAAGTTTAAAATAAATGTCAGAAATAATTCAAAATGTCAATAAAAACACGAAAAGTATAAATCAAAAGCATAAATTGTTACGAACATCGCAAACCTTAGCAACAAAACTTGGGAAGGAGGAAGACATGTGATATAAAATATCCAAGTACGACACATGATTGGATATTATCACACCGGGTGCTTCCATCTCTTTAGGTTGATCTTTGCCTGCCTTCTCACATTGAAAGAAAAGGATGAATTAGATCAAAATAACACACACACACATTGAAACAGAAAATCTTGCAAAAATGGTAAAAGACATAACAAGATCAGAGGCCAATGATGCTAAAATTGCTGAAACACATTCCATTTGTCCCTCTAGGAAGGAAGGAAGTACACGGAGTCCATGTCTCTCAATAAGTAAAATAGCAGCAAAACGAGGATCCTATAACCCAGAAAGTCTCGAAAACAAAAGGAGGGGAAAAAAAAATCTTCATCCTATTGCCACGGCTCAAGCGTCAAGTAAGAAGGAACAATGAAATATAAGCATAATTTATTTATTGCATCGATTAGAGGCCTCGACACCTCTGCTGATGTGTCTGGATGAGTAAATGATTGTTCAGCGCCGCCCCATCGTCATGGTGGCGCAGGTCCTCCTAGACAGATTACGCTCAGAGCATAACCGAAATCGTTCCAACCTTAGATTACGTATAGGATATTGGTATGGGAAGCATGTGTCCAGAAAAAGATGAAACAGCAAGTAACGAGTGAAGTTTCCATGATATTCCCGAAACTAAGTAGGACAAGCGTGATGATGATTAATCTGAAAGCAGAACTGATGGAAATGGAGTACCTCAGTGGCAGGCTTGTCATCAGTATTCGGAAACCGGTATGTCTCGCTTATCCAATAAAACCCAAGAACAAAAAGAATGAGCCTGGAGATGCTTCTCCCACTCTGAATAATCAGAGCCCTCCTAAGCCCAGCCATGTTCGCATAATGTTCCTGTTCTTCCTCTCGATTCGGGGGGTAGAATAGCGTGCAAATCCTACATATCAAGTAATAGGTGAATAACAAGGCGAAGCACATGGCCACCCTAATTGGAACCAGCGTGACCAATGCCAGCCCAAGCAGGAGCTTCTCCCTCGTCGGCAACTCTCCGCGTCCCATGATTCCATAAGCATCATATCTAACAAAGGCAGCGAATTTCTTCTCAAGGTCTTCGAGGTGGCCAGAAGAGACGTGGGAAGTTGGGTCCGGCTTGAGGAGGGGACGGTCGTCCTTAGCCGAAGCCTCATCGTGGACGGGGTCCGGATCTGCTGAACTGTCGAGTTCAGGCGGATTCGAATTCAGGTCTTTGAGTTCAGTCTCCATAGCTGAAGCCTTTGATTATAACAGCAAGTTCTTCATATTGGGATGTTGAGTGAAAATCAGAAACGTGATTTGCTTCAGAAGTGAATGGAGAAAACGGAAGAAGAATAGTGCCAATGCAGATGCAGCAGATCTGAGAAAAGCGCGTGCACTCGTCGTGATCGTTAAGGCTATCCCTCGGCGTTTAATTATCATATTTCATGAATAACTCCCATCTTTTTCAAGACAAAATTAGAATTATAAATTTTTTATTAAAATATGCTTATATGTTAGTAAATACTATAATTTCTAATGCTCCGTATAATTATTTTCATTAATAAAAAATAGTAAAGTATAAAAATAACTAATATTTTTATTAAGAAAACTGAAATTCAGTTGCGACAATAATTTGAAATTTTGATGCGGTGGGCGGGGATTTATAAATAAAGGACCGGCTAATTCAACTGTTTGTGGCGCCGTTGCAACGAGAATGTTCATTCTAAAAACAAAAAAGAAATGAGAGGCGGCATATTGTTAATCCTTCAGTCTTGCGTTGGCAGGTAAATACTATTATTGGCTGAAAAGAGAGGGAGGGTTGGGTTGTAAACCTCTTGTGGTGTATTCTATGGAACTAGTTTCCATTATGCTATTAATAGTTCAAACTTAAAATTTTCAACTTATAATTTTAAAAAAATTAATCTTTTAGTCATTCAACTTTTAACTCATTTGTAATTTAGTCCCTCAACTATAACTCGGTGTGTCTTAGTCTTAAAACTTTTAACTTGCATATAATTCAGTCCCTTATCTTTTCAATTTTCATATTACGATCCTTCCCCTCCACGACTGTGCGTGGCAACATACTCTTTCAGCTCAGCTCCACCTAGTTTTTTCTTTTTAACAAAATTTAAACTCAAAAAAAAAACTAAAGTGCTAGAGAGGATCGACAAGGGGAAAAAAGAAAGTTGCAGAGAAATTTACATTATTAGACTCAAGTTTTCTGGCGTCTGTCTTTTTGGTCTCTGAAAAACAAGACAACATCCCTATAGATGAGCCTAAAGATTCACAACTTCACACAGTGATGAAGGTGGACTGACCCAAGCTGCGGAAGAAGAAGGCGGATTCATCCAATTCAAGGTGTACCTCATATTTTCGACAGTGGCTTCTCAATTTGTTTAGCCGAATATGCAACCATTGCTTCCATTCCGGCATTGGTTTCGATGATACATCAATTCTTCTTCCCCTTGGCATCTTCTTTCAATTATCCTAAGTTACAGTAGAACTCAGGCCTTCCCATTAGTTCATCGATTGAGCTACCAAGCACTGATGTCAAAGAAATTGATAATAAGGAATCAATTTAAAGCACCAGTTCCCATCTGATGCATATAAGGATATTATCAAATGTGATTGTCTTGTTTTTCAGAGACCACAAAGACAGACGCCAGCAAGCTTGGGTCTGATGATGTAAATCTCCCAGCAACTTTTTTTCCCCTTCGTCGGCCCCCTCCAGCCTTTCATTTTGTGTGTGTAAATTTTGTTAAAAAAAAAAACCAAGTGGAGCTGAGTTGGAAGAGCATGTTGCCGCATAGAACTGAGTTGTGAAGGGAAAGGATAGTAATATAAAAATTAAAAAAGACAGGTAGACTGAGTTATATGTGAGTCAAAATTTCAGGAACTGAGTCGCACCGAGTCATAATTGAGATACTGAGTTATAAATGAGTTAAAAGTTGAATGACTAAAAGATTAATTTTCCCTATAATTTTTAAATAAAAATTCATTTCATGAAAACCTGATAATTAAGAAATTATATTTATTTTAAATTATATACCTGTTAAAAAAATATTTTTCAAAAAAACAAAATTTAAAAATTTAAATCTCAGTCGTCCATATTAAATTTATATAGTTGGGATGATGTGACCAATGCGATGAGTATTGAAATTGGTTCCTGCTTTGACTAAACCATCTATATCTGATTTGAATGGTTTAAATTTAATATTTTTAATTAATTATTTTTAAATAAAAAACTATTTTTTGAAAAAATGATAGTTAATAGATTATCTTTATTTTAAATTCTACACATATTAAAATAACTATTTTGAACAAATCAAAATAAAAAAGAACTCAAATCCGGATCATCTAAATGAGATATGAAAAATCTAAATTTGATAAGCTTACGGTGTTTATCAAAATAATAAGCACCGAAACTAGTTTTCATCAAAATAATAAGCACTGAAATTAGCTCCACAACAATGTCATATTGCCATTTTAGTACTTTTTTCCCCTTAAAAAAAGTCTCTTTGCACATAGTAAAAATCCTCTGGATTCTTGCATGCTATTGCTCGCATAATTTGAGAAACATGCGGAGTTACATGCGCGCGCGCACATATATATGCACATAGGAATCCGCATATGATGAGAAACCACCTCCTCCTCCCTTTTTTTCCTCAGATTTTTTCATTTTTTTTTTTTTTTTGTATTTGGGTTAACTTGTAGGAAAAATGCCAAATAAATACCCTGAAAATTTCTAAACCCCAAATATGCTCTCAGATACGCAAATACCAAACCAGATCAAGAATACCAATTTGGGATTTGCAAATGTTGCTGATTTACCCACATGTCCTTCTCTTCTTTTACTTTTTCCTTCTTCTCCCTACTGAAGCCCTCTTCCTTGCTGTACTGTCATCCAAGCACTCTTCTGTCTCAAAAGCAACGATCTAATATCACCGTTGTTCAAGGGATTGTGCTGTTTGAGACCAAATCAACACTCCATAAACTGTTTTGCTCCTTTGATCATTGTTGTCATTGCTCTCTTTCCCGCTTTATGGTTCACGGTGGCCATGAGCTCCGACGACAATAACTTAGAGGGTGGAGATTCCTCTACACCTGTGTGTAGCTCAAAGTCTTCAGGAGATGATGAAGATTACTCTGATGCCATGTATGTTTGGCCTGCCTCCACAAAGGACTACTTCAGGAAGGGATTCATATGGCAAGAAGCTTATTATTCCAGTAGCTTACATGGAGATTACCAGGAGTGAGGAAATTTCTCGCAGGTTACTGATTGAGAACAACAAGAAGAAAGGCGAATTAATGTTTTTTTTTTTTTGCTGATGTGTGATTGGCTTCTTCTCTATTTTTATACTGTCCGTTGGAATTTGGCTTCTTGTCAATTGTTATATTAAAGTTGTCAATAGTTACCTTTTTGTTGTTACTGCCAATATGTTATATATCAATGAACTTGTGCATCCTACGATCTTTGTATACATTTTACACTTGCTAAGTTTATTTCGATGTGCAATTTGCAAACTTAAAATTTTAACTTTGTTTAACCCTTATAACATTTTTACTTACTTTGGCAACAGGTGATTTGCCCAAATTTGTCAATTGCTTTGCCTTGTAATAAATTTCATAGGTCAAGTATAGTTCATTTATATAAAGATATTATTAATTGATATCAAAAAGTTGTGAATAGCCCCAACCAATTGGCGATATATGATTTGCCCAAGTTTGCCAATTGGTTTGCCTTTAACGAATTTCATAGATCAAGCATAGTCTATTTATATAAAGGTATTATTAATCGATATCAAAGAGTTGTCAACAGCCCTGACCAGTTGACAACTTAAGATTTGTCTAAATTTGTCAATTGGCTTGTCTTTAACGAATTTCATAGATTAAGTGTAGTCTATTTATATAAAAGTATTGTCAATCGATATTAAAAGGTTATCAATGTCCATAGCAATTTAACTCCAATTACGCAATTCAGTTTTAATTAAATAGTTTGTTAAATTTTCACTTTTTATTTGTTAAAGTTTTGCCTCATGATTCCTTTAATTTAGGGCTGAGCAAGCAACCCATAGCCCGGCTACCCGCCTGCAACCCATGAAAGCTGGGCCCATTTAAGCCCGCCCAAAAAAAAATATAAACGGGCAGGCTTAAACGGGCGGGTTTAAGTATTAAATGGGTGGGCTACGGGCAGAGGCACGGGCTGCCCCATACCCGCCCGTTTAGACTTTTATTTTTTTTTTGAAAAATTTAAAAAAAAAAGAGGGATCTGACTTGTGAATTGATTGAGAGAGACTTAGGACGCCTCTCCCCTCTCTCTCACGAGCTCTCCTACCCCACTCCTAGTTTCCCCTAGACCCCCCTTTTATTCTGCACTACTCCTCTCCCTCAGATTGAATCTCAAACTTGAGCCCTCGCGCTGCCACTCACCTCTCGATCTCTCAATCTCTCACGCATACGACGAAGGCGATTAGGTGCACAAGGGACACGTCGCTCACTCAGTCTCAGCACCAGTGTTCCACGGCGGCTCTCGCCTTCTTGCCTCTGGGTCTCACACGCTCCATCTCATCGGCATCTGAGCAGTGAGCTCTCCTCTCTCGTCACCTTCGTAGCACCGTCCGTCGGCCTCTTAGTCCTATCAATCTCCCTTGCCTCTTAGCCTTGTTGACGGCATCTCCCACCTCTCAATCTCGTGTCGTCGTCTCTCATTTCAGCTTCAAATCTTCCATTTATTTCACTCTTTTTTAGTTTTGAGCTCTTGCCTTTTGGGTCGACATTTATGTGTAAGATTTGAGATTACTTTCATTAGCTTAATACTTGTATTTGCTGATATTTATATGTGATTGCTGCATTGCTAGTAAACACTGAACATTGGTTCTGTTTTAGGAAAGGTATTTCCATTTTTACGTCTTTAAGCTGCAAAAAGTTTAGTATGAATGAGAATATGAGATAATATTTTCATGTCTTTCCATTCTTAAATGAGTTCCCCGTTACCCGCATCAGCCCGCCCAGTTAAACCAACCCATTCAACAACGGGTTTAAATGGGTATCTATGGATACGGGCTAACCCGTACCCGTTTAAATTTAAACGGGCGGGCCACGGGTTAGGGGCCGGGCAGCCCAACCCGCCCGTTGCTCTGCCCTACTTTAATTAATCATCTGTTATAAACTTCAAATATCACAATTGGAATCTTGGAATTCATTATAGGGCAAGCCAATTGACAAACTTGAGTAAATTACATGTTGCTCTCTTGTTAGGCTTGTTGATAACTCTTTAATACTGATTAACAACACTTTTATATATATGGATAACATTTAATATGTAAAATTCATTACATGACAAATTAATTGGCAAAGTTAGGCAAATCACATGTTACCAAAATAAGTAAAAATG